TCTAAGTCGAGAGCATGAAAAAGATGAGTATATTGAATAATATTCTTTATATACTTTAAATTTTTATCAGTTCTACCATTAATAAAAAGGATCCAAATAGGTCTAACTTTTCCTTCTTTTTTTAGGGTAGTGGAAAACTCTTCATTTAAAACAATGCTTTTAAATCTGCAATATGGGTTGTTGAAGATGTTCCAATAAAGTACTCTAACCTAACAAATATGAAAAGTTGACTGATTCACAAGGTATTACTCAAATCAGCTGGATTAATTAATGATCAGATAAACAGAAGGTATAAGTTTCATTTTTGAACTAACTGAGAAATCGTGATCTTTAATAGTAACTGGTTCATTAATAGTTTGAATAATTTTAAATGTGTGACCAACTGTGAGAATACCTAATCTGACCTTTGCTTTGTTATTCTGAAAGATAATAATCACTTCATCAGTAAAAATTTCAGCAAATACTCTTGCAGCTTTAACAGAAGCTAAGTAATAGTGTTCATCTATATGAGATTTCATTTCTGTTTGTGCTATGAAAATAAAACTAACTTTCACTAGATGATGATGATGATACGTAATAAAAGTACTTAAGTGATGGGATTGAAGATAAGTTAATAAATATTGGCAAGATAAGTACAGTTAACTCTTGATATAGCGAACTCTTGATATAACGAATTTTTTGAACAAATATAATAAAAATACTCTTGTTATAGCGAATTGGCCAATCAAATCTCTTAAAATCTTCACTATAGCCTTATAGTGAAGTTGAGATCTAAGACATAGAGTTCGTTATAACAAGAGTTGACTGTATATATTATATTCTTCTTTGAGTGATTTACGTAAGTGCTTCACTGTATGAACTTTAATAATTTCTTTTCTTCTTTTAGCATGAGTAGCTCTAAACTCAATACAATTATGGATCTTATCCCATAAATCCAGATTCTTTATTACTGCAGGTAGTCTTCCTGAAGTGTCATATTTTTTTACAATTCTTTCTTCTAGTAATTTTTTTTTCTTTATTGCAAGTTTTGCTTGTGATTCAGCATGACGCTTCAATTTTCTTAATTGTGCACTTTGTTCTGATATAATTTTTTGCTATTCAGTAATTTGTAATATTAATAAATCTTTTAATGAACTATTTATAGTAGTTTATAACGCTTGTTGATAATTGAATATATTCTTTGTAGCTAAATTGATCTGCTCAGCTGCATTATATTGCGAAACAGCATTTTTTGATATAGTTGTAATATTAATTAATCCTTGTATTGCAGTGAATATAGTGGATGTATAGTAGGTGTAGCTAGAATTATTGGAACTAGAAGCTATATCATGTGATAAAATAGTCTTTAATATGAGCGAAGAGTAGAAGAAACAGTTTCATAATATTCACGAATCATATCTTTAATAAAGGTAGTATTGTATTTTTTATTTTCTTTTCAAATATTTATACATTCTTGCATTAAATTTTCACAGTTTGGTTTTGGGTTAAAGTTTGGTGTCTTCAAAAAGTTTTGCATATTAATTTTTTTTTAAAAGAATGTAAAGAATGCAAGAACGTAAAAATATGATTATTATAATAGATCTTAATAGATTTGCAAAATTATTATCACATTAGGCTAATAATAAATATTATTTTGATTTCGTCAGAAGTTTTTTTTAGCAAAAAAAATTTATGGATCAAAGATAAGTTCATTTATTATTTTATTTATTATTAATTTTTATTTATTTAACTATTATTTATTTATTTAACTATTATTTATTTATTTAACTATTATTTTAATTTATTCAATGATAGAAATCGTTATAGTAAATTATCATTACTACTAAGTTCTTACTAAAAAAAATACATTCTTAGAGTTTTTTTTTACTATTATTTTAAAAGTTCTTTATTTTGAAAAAGTTTGTAAATATTTTCAATAAAATTTATAAATTAGACAAATTAACATATAATATATATATAATAATATAAATAATATATATATAATTTTTAGTCAATCAAATTGATTATCAGAGGGTGAGCAGGGGATCAGCCTTATAAGTGAAAAAAATCAGCTGATTTCTGGTACGTCCCTTAAGAAATTATAATAGTAAATTTATGATTAAATATAATTCTTATAATTATTTTTAAATTTTAATTGAATTGTAACTTAATTGTATTATAAGAAAATTTAATTACATTATAAATTATAACTCAATTGTAATATTTTTTAATTGTAGTATTTTTTTTATTTATAATTTTTTATTTAAAAAAAAATTAAAAGAAAATTTTTTATTAAAATTATGATTTACAGAAGAGGTAAAATTTATATATTAATATTTATCTTTTATAATAACTTATTTTTCTTTTTAATATTTAAATTTTAGTCAATTTAAGAAATTATGATTGCTTAAATTATTAAAATAGCAAAAAGGTAGCTTAGATAATTATTCTTTTATAAATAAAGAAAATAATAAAATTAAAAGATAAAAAATTAATTTATTATACTAATGATAAATTGAAATATATTAATACATTTCTTAGATTAATTTAAAAACAGAAAAACCTAATATAAAAGAACTAAAAAGAACTAAAATATATTTGTATTTATATTTAAATATTTTAAATTAAGAAGATTATTGAATATAAACAAATGTATTCTTAAATTTTTTAATGTATTTTTAATATATTTTTCTTTAAAATACATTATCACTATAAAATTCTTTAATTTAGATTAGTTATATCCTTAAGTTTCTACTTAAAGTTGCTAATTGTGATCAAGATATTAGAATTTGTCTAACTTTTAACTTTATCAAATTTGCATGTTAAACTTAACAAATTTGTCAAATATAAAGACTTAAAAGATGATACTTTGAAAAAGTTTAATTAAAAAATTCAGATAATGAACTCAATTATAAATAAAGTATAAAGATTACTTCAGATTATATGAAGATATAAAGAAGCAGAAAGATATAAATTTTAATTAATTCTTTTATTAATATTAAAACTTTTGTTATAGCTAACTAAATTATTAAACTATAAATTAATTAATTTGATAAATAAAATATAATTAAAATAAAAATAATAAAAATATATAATAAATTAAAAATAATAATAAAATAAAATATTAAGAATAAACATTAAATCAAGTATTTTTAGACTTTATTTAATTTGTGAGATTAGGATTATTATCAGTATTTAGAAGATCAGCAGAATTATATAGATCTTTCATATTTTAGAATTTTTTAATATTTTAGAATTAGGAATCAAAAGATTATCATATTGTATTATTTATGTAACTTCATTATTATTAGTCAATTGTTTTGCTAATAACATTGAATATAAGAATATATATTCTTTTTATTTAACTTATTTTTTAAAATATATATTAATATTAATAGATAAAATGTATTTAAATTAATATATATTTAAATGGAAAAATATATTAATAATAACATGTTACATATCTTATTTATAATAACCTTTTTATTTTTTTAATAATAAATTATTTTAAATATTTTATAAATAAGATTTTTATATACAAAATTTAATTTGAAAAACTTTTATTTAATATACTAAAAATAGTTTCATAAATAAAATTTTCAGTTATAAATAATTTCTTAAATAAAATTAAGATTATTACAGATAAGATACATAATCCATATTTACAATTAGGTTTATCCTATTTAAATTATTATATATAATATTTTTAAATAAAATTTATAAAAAATACTTTATATATCAATAATAAATGAATATTAATATTTAATTATAATAGATATATTTTTATTTATTTTTATAAATTAATATTAATTTGTATTTTTAAAAAATTTTTAACTTGAAAAAATTATAGTATATTTAATAAAGTTATTATTTTCATATAATCATTATTATATTAATAAATTGCAGGAAATTTAAAAAGAATTATAATAAAATTTTAATTATATGTCTAATAAAAAGTTATTAATCATGATTTAAAGATTTTTGTTTTGTCAAATAAGCTTATAAATAAATACAACTTTTTTTAAATTCAAATAATTATTTAATAAAATAATTTATTTAATTTTATAAATTTAGCAATTTATATAAATATTAATAAGTTAGTTTAGAAAATATTAATAAATTTTAACTAAATTTAGAATTTATTAAGCATTTTTTGATAATAATTGTTAATGCAATCAGGTTTTAAATATTAAATATTATTGATTTTAATTTAAAAGTTAAAATGTAATAAAATCTCAATTTTGTTAAAAAATACTCAGAATCTAATTTTCTTAATAATCATTTATATTGTAATATTTTGGTTAAGAAAAGATAAAAAGCTAGACTTTTTAGACTAAACTGAATTGAAAAGAATTGATCCAATTTTAAAATTTACTAAAATCCAATATTTTTTTAGATTATGTCTTTACTAGTAAAAATATAATATGATTCTATTATTTTTAAAGTAAATTATCTTTTATATTTGGCCAATCAGATTATTTTCCGCATACTTACTATATATAGCACATATATTCATAAATGTTTCTCTTATATACAAAATAAAATCAAAGAACTTTGGAAACGCGTGTCAAATAAAAGAACGTCATTACATATAGTCAGACACATCAGTTGATATTATAATTTCCGCGGACAGAAAGAAGGCAAAGAGAAGTGGAACAATATGAACAATATTATGCAAATAATCACTTTTATCATCCAATAATTTTCTGCCAAGTTTTGTGCATCGTTCTGCATGTGACATTCAGGTAATCCTTTTTTATCTTTTTTATCGAATAAAGAAAATTCTGTTTGTCTAACATCAGTTGACATATGATAAAGAGTTTTGAGGGGTGGGTATGTGTGTCACTGACTGGCATTATCTGTTAGATCAGTACTTTGCATAAATTAATTTATCATTATCTATCAGATATTTATAGTCCCACTTTCTGAACAAATTTTTTTTTTCACCTTTCCACGTCCTTTCTTTTCATATTTATTTTTAACGATTTTATTTCTTCTTTGCTCTCTAAAGATAAATAAAAATGGATGGTATTCAAGCTAAACTTAAGTATTATAATGCTTTAGCTGATAAGGAACTTTCTAAATATGAACAACTTGACAAATTGGAAAAATATACCAATGTTCCAAAGACCTATATGGCCGCCGGTGCTGTTGGCGTCGTGTTCTTATTGATCTTTTTCAACTTCTGGGGACAATTATTGTCTAACCTCATTGGCTGGGTTTATCCCGGTATGTGTTATCAAGAAAATATTTTGTACCATTTCAACTTATCAATTAAATAATTTTTTTTTTTTTTTAGCTTACATTTCATTCAAGGCAATCGAAACTACAGACAAAGCTGACGATACTCAATGGTTAACATACTGGTAAATTTAAAATGGATCGATTCGTTTCTTGTTTGGATTTCTTTAAATTTCAATTCAGATTTATTAAACTATGAAACTTAACTGGATCAGGACCGTATTTGGATTTGTAAATATAATTGAATTCTTCTCAGACACCATCCTTTACTGGATGCCGTTCTATTACTTATTCAAAACCGTCTTTTTCCTCTGGTAATTTCACGACTATTGAGTCCTTTTATCTGTAATATCCAATATTAAATTTCTTAATCCATACAAATTTTCTTTTATTTTTCGCAATAAAAAGGCTTTTCCTTCCACCATTCAAGGGTGCACAAGTCATTTATTCCAAATTCTTGAGACAAGTTCTTTTAACTTATCAAAATGATGTGGATAAAAATCTTAATAAATTGCATAATAAAGTTAATGATGCCGCTAGGGACCTCATGAAAGAAGCTATTGATGCAGGAACTAAAGTTGAATAGGTGGGGGTTACTATTTAAAAAGAATAAAAAAAAGAAGGATAATAATAGTAATTGTATTAAATATTGTTATGTAAGTAACTATTATTTTATTCTTTATTTGTTTTTATTTAATTTCCTGTACGTATCATATAACTTTTTTTCTCAATAAAAAGTATTGTAATTATATAATGACTATGAGTAATTATGAAAAACATTGATAATAAAAAATCGTTCCTTGAAATTTTTAAGATGTTTTTCAAAATTTATTATTAAAACCTTTATACGACGGTCCTATTTTTAAAATTTTATCAAATTACGAACCATTATTATGCATTACCTTCTATAACTCTTTATTCCAATATGTACTTTTTCCCGAGTAGACGCTTCTTTGAAATGCTGCCATGCCATCAATGTACAAGTGAACACGAGTTTATAATTTACGATTTGAATCTTGATTTTGTATCTAACTTTATATCAATTAAACCATCATTTTGGATAAATCATTTGATATTTATGTGATTATAATCGGTAAAAGGAGTCTTTTTGAAGTTGAAATCATATCTCGAACGTCTGTTGTTTCACGAACCCTCTAATTCTCAATGTCACTTCTACTATAATTTTTATTCATGTAAAGAAGGGGCTTGGTGAATGAATTCGTCACGGATTCACTACTTGGTTTGTTATTCGGAGAAGGCATAATGTATCACGATATAATTTCGCAAAATGTGATAGTGACACGATCCATGTAAGTTCATTCAACTTCATATACTCGTGACTCGTAACACCTGAAAAAAAAATATCTATAAATTTTCCGTATTTTTTTTTTTTTTTCATATTTTATATTTTCTATACTTTCTCTCTCAACTAAGTTTCCTTCCTTGAGATTTGCATTAAACCAAATGAGTTCGTCAGACTCCAATTCGTTCTCTAACCTTTCTACGCCGTCAAATTCTTTGCCGACAAGTAATTCTCACCGGGAATCTTTGATATTTGATGAATATTCTGGTTATTCGGGTCCCTGCCCAGCATGTAACGAACATATGAATTCAATTGATCAACTCAACCGTCATTTGGACGATATGCATACGGATACTTCTATAGACCAGAAAGATGGCATAATTAATTGGTTTAAAAATGCTCAAAGCAACATTATGAAGCCACTTTCAAAAACTAGATTGAACAATATCTCCAACCTTCCGCAATTCGCCATGAATAAATTTAATGAGATTGATAACGGATTAGACCAAAATTCAGAATTAGTAACAAAAGCTCATTGGAAAAAAGATGGTGAAAATATCGTATGCTCGAATTCTACTTGTGATAAGTCATTGAATATTAGAAACGGCAAACACAATTGTCGAAAGTAGTCATCATGATCAAAACTCGTGTATTTTCATTCGTTGATATATTTTTAGTTTCTATTATATTTTTCATAAAACAGATTAATTGATTCTTATTTTCCCTTCTTCCCCCCCCCCCCCACACACACACGAATATAGATGTGGCTATTTCTTTTGTGATGATCACTGCCGTTTATCTATTAAATTGAACAGGCAAGCACAGCATGATCCTGTCAATGGATATTGGTGCAGAGTATGCAATAATTGTTTTATTTCTCGAGAGGGTTATTTAGATACTGAAGGTAACGTGATATTTCATATTATTAAAAAAATGCATCATAAGGCGTTGAATTTTATTATTTGAATAGGTGTTATAAGAAGTCATACATCAGCATTCGTTGAATTTCGGAAGAAGGGGATTGAAAGAACACATTTAGAAGGGAATCGGCTTGAGAAGCGCCTGGAAAAGGTCTAGCAATATTTGCATAAGTTACATTCATACATTTGTCTTAATATATATAAATAGATTTGTGATCTTCACATGCTTTGTCTGTCGCACTTAGCTTGCAAAAGTGTACGCTTTGCAGGTCAAACAGGTTAATTCTACACAAGGAGGATTGACTCCTCCTTTGACTGCAAAACATCGAAGAAGAGGTGGAATTTCTTTTATATTATATACTTTACATTTTCTTTACTTAGTTTTTATATTGACATTATCGTCTTTTTTTTTTTTTTTTTTTTTTTTTTTTTGTAAAATTAGCTTCCGAGCAGTCAATTGTTAAATGGGAGGATGATGCGTCTGTAACAAATTGCCCGCTGTGTGGGTATGTGATAGTTTCGATTCCTTTGTCGAAGACTTGTTAAATTTTAATCATGTTAAAATAATTGTTCGTTCAGAACGTCATTTGGCATGATAACCAACCGCAAACATCATTGTCGCCTATGTGGACGCGTTGTTTGTGAAAAATGCTCATCGAAAATTTCTTTGAACCTACATAATTCAGGTTTGTCTAATCATATTACTATAATCATTAATTCAGTTACTTTCCATAAAGTTGTATTAATTTATAGTATTATAGAAGTAGCAGATCAAGAATCTGTCGGCAAAATTCGCTCCTGTAAAGAGTGTCGCACTGCTGTGTTTAGGTATTCTAAATTACAAGAAGAGTATTGAGAAAATCGAAAATCTTGTTTTTTACTTTAATTAATTTCACATACTTTATTACAGGCGAAAAGATTATAATGAAGAAATGGCAAGGACACCTCCAGTTGTTGCGTTATATCAGGTGGATGCATCATTCTGTTCATTTTTCCTCTAACAAATAATATTATGCTTTGAAACTTTATAAGATTACTTTTCTCCAAGGAAATAAATGTGTTCGAGTAAAGCTACAAAAAAAAAGTTCTTTATTTGGGTTTAAAACTAACAATGATCAAACTTTATTTAGCAATTAATGAAAGTCAGATCTACTATTGACTCTACATTGCCTAAATTTCAAGACATGCTTAATATGTTAAAGTTGTTATTTAAATTTTCATTTACATAATTTTATATAATATGAACGTTAATATATACTTTATATTTTATTTTGTAGTAGACAGGAGATAGTTAATCAAACACATGCGGATTATCAAGTAGCGGCACGAACGCGAAAAGAATTATTGGAAAATTTTGCACAATTCGACATGATTAGCAAAAAAATTAATTCGCTACTTACTTACTCTGAATCTGAAAAACGTCTGCAATCTAATATTCACCTCGCTGCTAATCAATATTTACAACAAAGCATGCTGCCACTTTCAGTATTACCTAGGATTTTCAAAAAAGACCAAAATCAACAAGCTAAAGATCAACAAATTGATGACGATGATGATGTCGTACTTGCTTTTGCTAATGGTAGACCTAGATCACTTTCAATGTCTTCTACAAAATCTGTAAAAGAAGAAAAACAACTTCGCCAACAGTTAGAAGCATTTTTGGAACAAGAGAAAAATTTAGAAGTGTTTATTCAAGAGGCTACTAGAAAAAGAAAATTTGATGATCTGAAAACATTAAAAATTTCTTTAGATGAAATAAGAATGGAAATTACAAAGAAAAAGTCAGAACTTGGTGATTTATGGCCTTGAACTTTATTTTTAAATCGAAAGTTATATACGTGTATATATTAACTTGAAAAGACAAGTTTTTTGACATTAACTTATTTGAGGATTTTTTTAAGTGTAATTTATTGTAATAGGGGTATCATGAATATTTATTATTCTTTATTATTACTACTTTTAATATATTATATATATATAATAATTATTATATTATTTGTATTAATATATTATATATATAAATTTTTTTTTTTTTTTTATTATCGCGTAATTAATTCATTATAACATTATTTTTATTTTTATTTTTTTTAATTATTTTCCCCATCGTTTTAATTTTTTCGTATTATTATATTCTTCGATTGATCCATATTCTACTTCGCATCACAATTTTCTATTGACAAAAAGAAAAAAAAAGAAAAGAAACTAATCGATCATCTATTAATGTATATACACACATATATAATATTATATATATAATCCTTTTTTTTTTAATCTAATAATCACTCCAATTTTTTCTCTCTCGCTTATAAAAAAATTTGTTTGATCCAAAGAAAGAAAAAAAAAAAAAAAAAACCTAAGATTAGTTTTGAAATTATGCTTCATTAAGTTTATTTTTTATTCCGTTTTTTACGTTCTGTTAGTAAGATTATATATATATATATATCTCGTTTTATGATATCGACACTATGGTTTTTCTTTTAAAAATAAATAAAGAACATTAAGATTTAATTATGGAAATAATCAATTGAACCTTTAGATCCATATTAATATGGCATTATTTATTAACCGATATTATATATATATATAAATATATAAATTAACAAAATCTTTTTTTTTTCATATTATCATACAAATCTAAACATTTAAATACATCCTTTAACACAATAAATGTTCTTTTTTTCTTTTGAAAAATAAATAATTATGTCTCTTTGCAATTAAGTTACTACCCTTTAAAAATTTAGTTCTTTACAATAAATGAGCATGTCTAAAATTTTCACCGGCATAAATTGCTTCAGAGCCTAATTCTTCTTCAATACGTAATAATTGATTATATTTTGCTAGACGTTCCGAACGACAAGGTGCTCCAGTTTTAATTTGTCCAGTACGAAGACCCACAACAAGATCTGCAATAAAAGTATCTTCGGTTTCGCCTGAACGATGAGAAACCATAACACCCCATCCATCACTTTGTGATAGTTTAGCACTATTATCATTCATTATATATATATAAGAAAAAGAATTGTTTAGTAAATGAAATTTATTATCCATGAAAGAAATTTGTTTGTGAATGTGATAACTTACGCCTTAATAGATTCACTGACAGTGCCAATTTGATTAACTTTCAAAAGAAGTCCATTACAAGCCTTTTTCTCAATGGCTGTAGTAATTCTTTCAGGATTAGTAACAGTCAAATCATCACCAACAATCTGAATGTTTACTGAAGAAACAAGATGACTCCAAGCATCCCAATCATCTTGGTCAAAAGGATCTTCAATCGAAACAATTGGATATTCATTAATAAATTCAATGTATAATTTAGCAAGTTCAGTTCCAGAAAGCCATTTAGATTTATCAGAATCCTTGTTCTTAAAGTCCAAATCATAAGAATTTTCTTTATAAAATTCAGAGGCAGCTACATCCATACCGATTTTCACTTTATCAGTGTAACCAGCTTTTGAAATAGCTACCTTGAGCAATTCAAGACCTTCTTTATTGTCTTGAATGTTTGGAGCAAAGCCACCTTCGTCTCCTACATTAGTAGCGTCTTGACCATATTTAGCTTTGATCACAGATTTCAAAGAATGGTAAACTTCCGAACCAATTTTCATGGCTTCAGAAAAAGATTTAGCGCCAGTCGGAAGGATCATAAATTCTTGCATGGCAAGTTTATTACCAGCATGAGATCCTCCATTAATTACATTAAAAGCTGGAACTGGAAGAACAAATGGTTGTTTACTTCCAGCAAGCTCAGAGATATGTCGATAAAGCGGAATGCCCTATGATAACAACGCAATTAATAATGGTTTAAATAAATTAGGAATAAAAAAAAAAAAAGATAATATACACATTACCTTTTCCGCGGCGCCAGCTTTGGCAACCGCAAGTGAAACACCTAGAATAGCGTTAGCCCCAAGTTGTGATTTATTCTTGGTACCATCCAATTGCAAGAGAAAGTCGTCAACAGCATTTTGATCTCTTACATCCAAATTGGCTTTAACTAATGCTGGTGCGATTTTCTCATTGACATTGATGACTGCCTTTGAAACACCTATATTTATCGATGATTATATATTTTTTTTTACAAAATAAAATAATGAAAATTGATCAAATTTTTATTATTACCTTTGCCAACATAATCTGTTTTGACGCCATCACGGAGTTCTAAAGCTTCATGAACTCCAGTTGAGGCACCAGAAGGCACAGCAGCGCGGAAAACACCTAAATAAATAAAGTAACAAAACTTTTCTTAAATAAAACTTTGTATAAAAAATTGTTTATTATGAATAATTTTTATACCTTTCTCAGTGGTAAGGTCTACTTCAACAGTAGGGTTGCCACGAGAGTCAAAGATTTGGCGGGCGTGAACTTTAGTAATTGCCATTTTTATTTTAGAAAGTATTTTATTAAAGACGAGGTGTTTAAAAAAGTAAAGAAAATCAATTTGATAGGGTTTTTATATGAAAAGGTTAACATTTTTGGAAATAGTTTAACTGATTAACAATCTAATCAAAAATTTATTCCTAAATCTATCAGTCGATTTGGATGATCAGTTCATTTTCGCATGCATTTATTTTTTTTACTGAAAAAAAATTTGTGTTTGGGAAATAAATAATAAATAAATTAAAAATTCTATTTTTTTATGATCTGATTTTTTAGTTAAATGTCTATCTAACATATTATTGAAATGTTTCCTGATTATTATCCCATACACTTTCTTCATCAACATTATTATTTACATCAGCTCCTTCTTCAAACATTTCCCATTCCTCCTCTTCCGTAAAAGCAGGACTATATTTATAATTCCTCATCCCTCTTACAAGACTTCTCCTACCTCTTCTATTATGAGGAGCTACAAACCTTCCAAGCCCAATTGCTCTTAAAGTATCTCTTCCGACACAAGAACCACAGCAAAATATCCAACATATTCCACTAAAGAAAACCAAAGCCATAAAAAAAATCAAGACATAAAGCATAGGTTCATCCTTGGTTTGTTCTTGGATAGAAATTGGTTGTGTTTCCAATGAAATTGGTACTGGAAATGTCATTTTTTTTTTTTTTTGTTTAAAAAAATTTTTTTTCAATTTGTATTTTGAAATTTTAATTATTTAATAATAAATAAATGGAACGAATGTATTTATTAATGAAGGAAATTTTTGATTTGAATAAAATTTTTTTTTATTCGAGGCGAGTTTTTTTTTTTAAAAAAAAAAAAAATAATTTGAATGTCCTTATTTATAAACAATACATTGAATATGTAAATATATATTAAATTTAACAGAGTACAATGCATGTGAATCTATCAAATTAATTTCTCAATAAATTATAAACTCACCAAATAAAAAATAATTGTAAAAAATGGTAACTTCAGTTATAATAGGCATCGGTAAATTGAAATACTTTGTTTTTCTTCAACTTTCAAATTGTTATTTATCTTCAAAATACCATCTTGTAGATTTCGGAACGTCTTCAAGCACCTTTGCGTACTCCCACAAATCAGATAACGGTTCTTCGGAAATAGTTACAAATGATATATGGCCACAAGAAGGTCAACATGGCGTATTTAAAACCAATACAGTTCTTCTTTATAATACACAAACTTGGAAAGTCGTAGGATGGGGCTCAAGTGCAATAACGCGTCAGGAGAAAAAGAAAAAGAAAAATAATTTTCTAACCGACAACGGATTAGATCCGACGATTCCTGTATCTCTATTTAAATTACATTTTGGAAACATAAGAGAGCAAGATAAACCGATCCTTCCTCAAGGTCTAGATTATAGACGGTGCGTGATTGATTATTTAGCAGAAATGACAAAGGTAAATTGGATAAACTGGTGGTTTTCCTTTTTGCTCTGGCATACGTGATTCGTTTTCATCATTTATAAAACATCTAGTTAATTAAAAACACGATAGCAACAAGATGGCCAGGTTAATATTTTGATCTTTATTATTTAACTTGCAAAAAATATATTAAAAAAAAAAACAAATATAATTCTTTAATATTAGGAATAAATTTTTATAGAAATGTGTTGATCGTCTTAACGGGTAAGAATAAAATGTGATTTTCACTCGCATTTATATAATCTATATTAATTCAAATTCATGATTTATGATTAGTTCCGTCTGATTTTTCGGAAGCGGCGAAAGCGACTATGCGCGAATGTGCGTGGCGCGCTGGATTGCTGGAATTCGCTAATTCACCCAACTTGGAATTTACGACTGAACGTAAGTGTATTATGAAATAACATTTTTTTCTTTTTAATTTTTATTAATTCGGTATATGTGATTAGCTGAGGCTGCTGCCGTACATTGCATAACTTCACTTGGACGATTAGGATTAAAAGCAAAAGGTATGTGACAATAATTACAAATGTATATATATATATCTATCTAATTTAATTTTAAATTAATGATACAGCCAATTTTATGATAGTGGATTGTGGAGGTGGAGCAGTAGAATTGACAATGCGAAGATTAATAACTCATAATCAAATTAGTGAAATAACCGAAAGAACTGGAGATTATTGTGGAAGTACTTTTGTTGATAAAGAATTTTTAAGCTTCCTTTATCAAAAATATAATTTATATCAACCCATACAACAGCTTTATTATCATCACAATGATCAATTTCAATATTTATTACGAGAATTTTGTAGCAAGGTAAAATTATCATTTACGGGAAATCCTTCAGATTTTCAAAATGCTTATATAGATTTAGAAGATGCTTGTCCAAATTTAATTTATTATGTTAATGACGAAATGACAAGGCAAAGAATGGAACTAGAAGAATGGATAATTGAATTAGATTTTGTAAATGTTAAAAAAATGTTTGATCGTGTTATACAACGGATTAATTGGTTAATTGGAAATCAATTGAATTCTTTTAGACAACAATGTTCGGCTATTTTTCTGGTCGGAGGTTTCAGTGAATCTCTTTATCTAGTAAGAAGTGTTAAACACGCTTTTAGTCAACAAGTTCCTATAATTGAGGTTCCTTCTCAGCCTATAACCGCCGTCGTTAGAGGTGCTGTAAAGTACGGATTAAATATGAGAACCATACAAACGAGAATTTTACGTTACACTTATGGCGTACAAGTTTTAAAGAAATGGAAAAAAGGAGAAGATCCTCAAAGAAAGTTACCGAATGGTTTAATGTTAGCGTTTCATTTGTTGGCAAAGAGAGGAACTGAAGTTAAAGTCAATCAAACCTTTGGTTATATGGCTAAACCAACTAATTCTAATCAAGTTGATATGAGATTCAATATCTATGTTACGACAAATTTTGATGCTAAATATTGTGATGAACCTGGTACAAAGCTTTTAGGTACCCTTAAAGTAGATTTACCTGACAAACAATTTTGTAGCAAGAGAAAAGTAGAGTTTGATCTCACATTTGGCACGATGGAAATTAAGGCAACCGCCAGAAATAAAAAATCTGGACTCGTTTATCAAACCACACTTAATCTTGATTTTTAATTTTTATCACTTAGACATCACAGTAAATAATTATTTAATTACTTAATATTAGTAATATTTAGCATAACTTATTTTACAACTTGAAAAAAATTTTTTTCTCTATGGATAACGCGAAGAATTCGGTGGCGAAGTTGCCTCTTTTGGATCCTGTTTATTCATTTCAAATTGTGTCAACAATTTAAAGTCTTCCATATAAGCCTCAATCAAGTCTTTATGTATCTAATTTTATAAATATTGTTTTAGAATCATTTCGCGAGATTTCATTTGCTTTAAATAATACATTAGACTACCTTTACCTGTGTGGGTGTTCTTTGGGTGATCTTAATGTTCTTTGCCCTGTAAGATTTTCTTCTACGTTTATAATCGCGTTGTTCTGCTAATAATTCTTCTCGTGATTTTTGTCCTTGATTCATTTCTATAAATTTGCAAGATGTAAATAAAAAAAATGAATATGCAAAAAAAATATATATATATCAAATATCAAGATTTGGAAAGTACCTTTCATTTTTTGTACGGCTTCCCAAACTTGATCAAAGTTTTGATATAAATCTTGTTTTTCTTGTTGAAGTTGTTCACGAATTTGATTACTCATTTCAATTTCACACTCATATTCTTGCAACCTTTGATCAACTGTTAAGCTTCGAACATTATTGTTTGATAAAGATCCTCCTTTGATTTCTGGTATTTTTATAATTCATCAGTAAAAAAAAAAACGCGTCAATCAAGTAAAAATATTTATTAATTATGAATAGCAAACCTTTATTCAAGGATATGACAGATGAGGTATTTTGATAAAAGAAGTTTGAACTTGGTAATTGTTTTCGCTAATTTTTTTTTTTTTTTTTTTTTGGTGAATTCATTGAAATTAATCTTTATAATTAGAAAATATTTAATCACATACCTTTCCTAGTTCATTATGTATGCCATGAAATTTTAATTCGCATTTCCGATAATGCCGTTCAAAGGACTTTGAGGGAATCTTGTGTGCTGGATTAAAAGGACAATTTACTAAAGCATTGACTCTCTTTGGAATGATAAAAAAAAATTAAAAAAAAATTTAAAGATAAATTAGAAATTTCAAGCAAGCCGTTTATAATAATTATGACAACCTGTTGTTGAATTTTAACGTTTTCTAAATCCCAAGATAATTCATTTAGCAAATTTTCGAATTGTTTATCATACTCATTCAACTTGGTTTCATAAGCCTTGATTTGGTTGAGTCGACATTGGGAATAACCTTCCGAATTTGAATTGGACATTTTTTTTATTTTTATTATTACTAAATGAAGTAATCTTTCTTGGCCCGTCCAAAATGAACGCGATCTCTATATTTGTCACGTGAATTTCATTCAACATCAGTGTCGATCTTAAAAAAAATTTTTTTCATCGGATCATTCTTCCTATGTCTTTATCCTTATACTTTATTATTGGTGAAACGCGTAAACAACAAATTTTTAATAATTTAATTTGATATACTTTATATTTTATAGTAATTAATTACCCCTTGACAAAAGAAATATGGACGAAGTTAATGTTGAAACGTGTTATAATTTATCTTATTTCAAAGGTAAACCATCTTAACAAACTTTTTTTTTTCCTAATGACAAAAAAAAAAGAATTAATTTGATTTTGTGATTTAGACCTTATGAAAGAATATAGAAAGATAGACGATAATATCATGCTAAGGATGAACACCACTAATACGCATTCGGAAGCCGCTTGTGCGGATTTTTTCAAACAATTATCCGATGCTTATCAAAAGAGAGAACGGGTTATAAATAAATGTCTAAATGTGTATAGTCAAATTTGTTAAGATACATTTTTTTTTCTTTTATGTTATTGAGTCGAATTAATAAAATGTAATTTAGATTTTAGATGCTGAACTTGAAAAAAAGCAAAAAGCGTTAGATGATGATCCATTTGATAACAACTTAAAAAATCAAATGTTTGTTGATGAATCAAAGGTAATAATACTATTATTATTATTAGATGTTCGCGATTTTTTTTCTTATAATATCGCGATCTTTTAATTTATTCGAAATTTTATTTTTGAATTATATTGAAAAGCGAAGAATGATTAATAATGAATTGACAGTAGAAGATATTGTAAGAGAGAGAAGTCTATCAGTATTTAAGAACAAATGTCGTATATTCCATATGCCAAAAGAATTTGAGTATTTCATTAATAAAAGACGATAAACCTTTGAAACATAAAAATAAGAACATTCACTTTTTAATCCTATAGTAAATACTATTGTAATATAATAAAAAAAAAAAAAAAAAAAAAAATTGTTCGAAACCATAAGAAAATTCCTTTTTTTTTTTTCTAACTGTACAAATAATTGTGAAAATACATTTTTATATTACCGTGATCTTTTAATGGTCAATGTGTAAAAATTTACATTCATCACCCATATTACATTTTCCTCGAGTATAATACCAACATTCCGAACCTCTACCCTTGTTTGGTCTAATCATCCCACCGTCATTTCCTCTATTGGAAGGTTGAAAGTGCTGTTGACTAGACGGAGGTGGAGGTGGAGGCTGATGTTGATGAAGCTGGGGTTGATGGGATTGGAGTTGATGAGGCTGATGGGATTGTAGTTGATGAGGCTGATGAGGTTGAGGTTGATGTGGTTGTAGTTGATGAGGCTGATGGGGTTGAAGTTGATGAGGCTGATGAGGCTGAGGTTGATGAAGTTGAGGTTGAAGTTGAAGTTGGGGTTGGGGTTGGGGTTGGTGTTGAAGTTGAGGTTGGATTTGAAGTTGAGATTGGTGAGGTTGGTGAGGTTGTGGTTGATGATGAGGTTGAAGTTGAGATTGATGATGTTGGGGTAGAATTTGAGGTTGGTGAGGTTGAGGTTGAGGTTGAGGTTGAGGTTGATGAGGTTGAAGTTGAAGGGATTGGGGTTGAGATTGGGGTTGATGAGATTGTTGCGATTGTTGTTGAGGTTGATAACGTTGAGGTTCAATATTTGGAGTTTGATGATGTAAAGGTGGTGGTGGTGGTGGTGGTGGTGGTTGATAATGCATCAGATTTCCATTGAAACCCCAAGGAGCAATCGGTGGTGGCGGTGCGGCTTGAGATTGTGGCGGTGGCGCAGAGAAAGACATCATCATCCCCCTTACATTTTGATTTGGTACATTAATTGGTATCATCATCGACTTTTTATTTTGCATCGCTTCCCATTGCGGATAAATTTGATAAAGAACACGCAATACTTCTTCATTATAACCACCATTCAAATCCAATATATCAATATCTTTATAACCTTCATTTTTAATATTTTCTTTATTTGCTTCAAGAAAAAATTCCTTGGGTGGTACTGATTGACCGAATTTATTTATTTGAGCATTTTGAAGTGGTTCTGCGGGAGAGAAAGGAACTTGATCTGAAGTTATATATATGGTTTCAAGTATCTGCCTCTCTCTTTCTTCTTGAATCTTAGCTTCATCACTTTCAGCAAACTTCCGTTTTTTTATTTTTGGTCTAGATGAGAAATCAATTGTAATTGGCGTATGCCACTGAATAGCTGGTGCTTTGCGAACTCGCTTGAAGGCCGCGCGACCTTCATTCCTATCAAGATCTCGAGCATTTCCGTAGTGATGTGGAGTGTCGGCAGTTGTAGGCTCCTCATCGGTGTCCTCAAGTTCCATTATTTCAAATAATTTTACTTTTTCAAGTAATCCATCCGGAGCAAATGTGACCCGCTTCCTTTTTTTAGAAGGAGTAGGTAATGTTTCAGGTTCTTTATGTTTTTGAGTCGAAGGACCTTCTTCAGTGATTTCCATCTGTTGACTCTGTGTAACCTGTTTTTCAATTTTAAGTTTTGAAGGTGGTACCAATTTCGATGGATCCTTCTGAGGTGGTCTAGGTTGTCTTTTTGACGCGGACGCAGCTAAATTGCTAAGCAATTGAGTAAAAATGCTGGGTTTTTCATTATCATTCTGCGCGTTTCCATCTGCAACTTTTTTCCTTTTTTGGTCAGGCTTAGGTGGCCTTGCCAATTCTTTACCGCTTGAAGATGAAGTCTGACTTGTCGATGATTTTACTAAATCTGACTTGGAGCCAACCTTTTGAATGATCTTTTCCGCTTTATCCAGCCTTTTCTTTTCTTCCAATGCTTTCTGTTCTTTTAATTGTTGTTGTTCTTCTGATAGTTTTTTCTCTTCAACCCATTTGTCAAGAAGTCCTCCAGCTAACTTGGCCACCCCATCTATAGTGGATTCTTTCACATTTTTGTTATAAATAACCGTCCCAAGACCGCTAGAACGAGACAACTTATAATCTATAGGCAGCAAACTTACAATCTCGAGTAATTCCTTTAAATTATTATTATCTTCAGTTTTTGTAGCTTCTTCCTTAATCCAATTTCTCAATATATAACTGACGCGTTCACGTACAAGCGATTTCAGAATCTCCGGATCATGTGTTTGTTTTATAATGTGAAGGATTACACCACGCGTATTTGGGGAAGTGTCTTTAACCTTTTTAAGAAAATCTCTAACTACTTCAGCAGATATTAAACCTAAATCAGGGTTCAAGTATGACATAATGCTCGCAATAAGTTCTCTTGATTCATTGTTTTCGGCGGTTTGATTAGAGCTTGTAGAAGATGAGGCTTTTCGTGATTCATCATCAATTTTAACACTAGCTATGATGTTGTTATCATAACTATTTGAAGTGCCATAATTACCTGAAAAATTATTTATACTTGTCATATTGTTATTTGTATTACTCGTACTGTTACTAACGAAGTTATTACTCATATTGTTTATAATTGAACTGTTACTAGCGAAATTACTTGTGTTTATTATGCTACTTGTGCTGCTACTAACGAAATTATTACTATTAACCGCATTATTATTATTATTATTATTATTACTGTTACCTATGTATTCATTAGACATAAAATTATTGTAATATTGTAATTCAGTACTAGGAAGCAAATTAGCAGGAGCACCATACATGTTTTCTTGATTTTGCTGAGGAGCATCTA